CATCGATTTCCGAAAACGTGTTCGGTAGTTGTGGTCACTAATGTGGAGAATGAGTATCAATAATAAAGATATAATATAGTTCTCCAACGGATAATAAAACAAAGGTTAACAATTAAAACTTGTTACTAAGTATAATATATAATTAACAACTTTATTATCATTTTACATAATGATAATGACAGCACGTGTTACTTGAAAGATTTCTCTAATATGACTAACTAACCTTTTCCGGTCCTCTTAGCAACGGTTGCCAAGTATGGCGTCAGCCCGTATATCTATATATAGTGGGGGAACATAAAGCATTCACCACAATTATATGGGATTTTGGCGTTAATATTTAAAAATGTTTTTTTTATAAAATGTCCTCAGAAGTATTCCTATATTCTTATGCGTGTTCCCAAATAATAAAAATATACTGGACTATTATAATGTTTAAAAATTACTTTATTGAAATTAAATGTATGTAATAATTTAAGTCGTCACTCAAGCGTTGTCCCGTACGCAGCAGTAAAATTAAAAGGAATTACATATGATATCTCATACTCTTTCTCTCCCCTGGCGGATTGGGTAAACCGAGTTGTAACCGAATTAGATTACGATTCGGTTACGATTCGGTTAAGTTTCGGTCCCTTGTAAAATATTGTCGTTAATCGACGAAATATGTTGTAAATAACTATTAGGAATGGTTAATAGACATTTAGAGTGCTTATTTATGCAATAATAAGAATAAATTAAGATATAATTACTTCATAATAAGTGTTTTAAGTGTACAGTGCATACATTTGTTAAGTTACCATATATGTATATTAGCATCAGCGGCAGCTGTGATACGCGCGTTAAACACTAGATGGCGTTGAAGATTACTTTGTGAATGAATTTCTAAAATTAAACCCTTGAGTGTCAAATGTGTAAGTGAATATATGTTTTAAAAAAATAGATCGTTTTATTAAAACAACTTTTTTTATTTGTACAAATAAAAAATATTTTATTAGGAACAAAAATTTTTTTAATGAAAAAAATTTTTTTTTCTGTCAAAATTAATTTTTCTCCTTTCATTGAGAAAAGAAATATTTTTTTCAGAAAATTTTTTTTTTTTCAAAATTAATATTTCTTATTTTATTGAGGAAAAAAGTTACTTTTTCTCATTTCATTGAAAAAATAAAATTTTTTATTAAGAAAAAAATTTGTTTGTGTAAAAATTAATCTTTTCATTTTATTGTGAAAAAAAAATTATTATTAAGAAAAAAATTTTTTTAGGGAAAAATAGATTTCTTTGTGTCACAATTAATTTTTCTCATGCCATTGAGAAAAAAAATTTTTATTGAGAAAAAAATTTTTTTATATTTATAGAAATGAAAAAAGTTGTTTTAATTAATCGATCTATTTTTTTAAAACTTATATTCACTTACACATTTGACAATCTAAAGTTTAATTTTAGAAATTCATTCACAAAGTAATTTTCAACGCCATCTTATGTTTAAAGCGCAAATCACAGCTCCCGCTGATGGTAATATACATATATGGTAACTCAACAACTGTATGTATTGTACACTTTGTTCGAATGTGAGAGATATTTCTAAATTATAATTAAGCGCCTTTAAATAGGCTAACGTTGTAAGAAGTTTTTCTTCCGATCTGTATTCGGTAATTCTCGGAATTGGTATGCTAATTCGGGGAAATGTTCACCGTTAGTCTGCAAGAGTGCGAGGAAAGCGATAGTCGTTAATTCGACTCAATATATTTAATCTTAATTTATTTCACAAAGTCCCTTTGATGTTTTTTCTCTGAACAATTTTTAATTATTGACAAGTGTCTAATTTTATTAACTTTATTTGTGAGTGGTTTTAGCCGTGAAAACAATTTATTCTTTAATAAATATTAATGTGAGTTTTCTACTTAAATGAACTAGTGAGTGTTATTTAATTATCCAACTATTAATTTAAACGAAAATTAAACATGGTCCTTCGAGCCGGATCAATAAAAAACAATTTATCAAAAGTGGTGTAAACTCAACTATTCACGTGTATGAAAAAACCGTTGAAATGATGCTCAATGATCAGTGACCTTGTCAAACTTTGTGAAGTGTATAGCGTTCCTTGCAAAAAAATACTGTTTTGAGACTGAATATTTATTTCAAATTTGTCGTCAGAAGCTGAAAGGTTTTTTTTTGTTATTGTATTTTTCTTACAAAAATTACCTAAATTTTTGGAACTGTTGGCGGAGTTCCCGCCAAAAGGAGGAAAAGACGCCGCCGAAAACGAGCGGGTTAGCCGCCAAATCTAGTGCCTTGAGAGAGGGATAGAAGGAGAAGCAATTACGTCATCACAGAAACGATAAGAAACTAAGCGCGCAAGTTTCTTTGCTATCCTCGTTTTTACTGAGAGGTACTCTCTTTCTCAACTGCCCTCTCCAAACTTACTACGAAGGCTGAAGGTGGAACGATTGCGAGTGGGGACAAGTCAGTCTTCTTCAGATACTCCTACAGTCAATCAATTTTGGATAAGTACACATGTACCTGCTTATTTGAGAAAAACTTTGTATGCTTCGTTTGATGAAAAGTCGAGAAATATTTCTCCACTTCTTTTCAGTCTTAATTTTAATTAATGATTAACTCTTGCAGATTCTTCTTTTTTTTAATTTATAAGCTCCTTTTTCCTTTAAAATTTTAAAATGGAAGCTACTCTTATTGAAATAGAAAACTTATATCAAATAATTTCGCGCACCGAAGTCAATTTTAGAAAAATTGGCAAGGCGAATATAAACTCTACAGTCGTAACAGGTCGTTTAACGCTTCTTAATGAACGTTGGAAAGACGCACAAGCGTTAGACTTAAAGTTACATCAAACAATTTCTGTTGCTGATCAAAAGAAAAATGATTATTTTCTAAAGTCTCATTTTCTTAAAGTAGAAGAGGCGTTTTTAAACGCTTTAGATTTTTTGAATACCCAATTACATAATTTAAATGTTGAAGATGATAAGAACGCAATTAACGATTTATCGAAAAGTGAAACTGTACACATAAAATTGCCGCAGATTAGTCTTCCTCAATTTTCCGGTAATTATTGTGACTGGGAAAACTTTCGCGATTTGTTTAATGCTTTAATAATTGAAAATGAGAGTTTGTCTGATGTCACGCGATTACATTGAAAAATGTTTCGGTAACTAATTCAAATTTTTCTAACGCGTGGGATAAATTGAAAACTCGGTATAATAATAATCGAGCCTTAATCACGGCTCAAATTCAATTATTTATAGATATTCCGAATGTTAATAGCAATGTAATAGAAGGTTTAAAAATAATTCGCGACAGTACCAACGAATCATTAGAGGCTTTAAAAAATTTACGACGTCCAGTACCAGAATGGAGTGACTTATTAGTTTTTATTGTAACTAGAAAACTTGATAATGAAACACTTAGGGAGTGGGAAATGCAGTTAGGTGCATCTCCTGATTATCCAACTTATCACCAACTCGATGAGTTTTTATTAACACGAATTCGTGCATTAGAATCAATTCAAATTGCAAAAAATTCTTCTGAGAAAAGTAAAGTCTCAAAATCAAGTTCAGTAAAAAATCATACTGCATCTCCCAATCCCAAGTGTCTCTTTTGCAAAGAGAACCATATGTTGTTTAAATGTTTTCAATTTAAAAGTTTGCCAGTTGATAAACGTAAAGAAATAGCATTAAAAAACCGATGTTGTTTTAATTGTCTCGTGCCTGGCCATAAGCCACAGTTTTGCTATAGTAAAATTAATTGTTCAAAATGTCATCGTAAACACAACACCCTTTTACATTTCGAAACAAAAAATGAGAGTAGTAATAATTTAACCACTACGAGTCAACAAGTAATAGTCAATGAGCAGGGTACTAGTAATGGGAATGAAAATAAGCTCGTTACTAATGCTGTTCAAGTTTCAGTAAAATCACAAGAAACCATTGATTCTTTGAATTCAAAAACAAAAATTTTTTGTAGTACACTTTTGGCGACGGCTCTTGTTAATGTTCAAGTTGAGAGTGGTAAAATACATCAATTTATGGTTCTGTTGGATCAGGGTTCAGAGTATAGTTTTGTTTCGGAAAGGGCTATGAAATTATTAAAACCAAAATATGAACAAATAAGTACATTAATTTATGGCGTTGGCGGCTCGTCGGTTGGTTCCGCGAAGAAGTTGGCGCATTTTCGATTCCTTCCTAATGAGAAAGGATGTAAAGCTTTGAATTTGAAAGCTTTAGTTATGTATAAGCTCACTTCTTATCACCCTCCTTCTAAACCTATTGAATGGGAAAATTCCAATTTAAAAGAATTAAATTTAGCGGATATGGATCCTTTTAAAGAAAAGGAAATTGATTTTATTTTAGGAGCAGATAAGCTTGGAACTTGTTTACTTCCTGGTCTCAAACATAACGTTTTGGGAGGTTTGACCGCACAGTTTATAATTTTTGGGTGGGTCCTTTCAGGTACCGTTAACACTAATCAAGTACCTAAGGTGTTCTCTCTTTCTGTTAATACAATGTCAATTGATGTTCTTCACGAAGATTTAATTCGCTTTTGGCAATTGGAGGAAATTCCAACTGCAAATACTTTAACTGAAGATGAAGTACGGTGTGAAGAACATTTTGTCTCCACTCATCAGCGTGTGAGTTCGGGAAGATACATGGTTTGTTTACCATTTAAAGAGGGTCCACCGATAAATATTGGGAGCTCCTTCGAACGAGCGAGATTAATTCTTAATCGCGTTTTAAATCGCTTATCGGACAAAACAGAACATTTGAGTATGTATCGAGCATTCATGGACGAGTATGTTTAATTAAATCACATGCGTTTAGTTAATTTAGAGGATTCTGGAAATCAAATTGTCTATATACCACATCATAGTGTCGTAAGGGAAAGTAGTTCTACTACAAAACTACGTGTGGTATTTAACGCTTCTAGTCCGACCTGAAATAACACGTCTTTAAATTCACATTTACACATAGGTCCTCGGTTATTGAATGATTTGATGTCGATTATACTCAAGTGGCGCGAATATCGTTACGTTTATGTTGCGGATGCGGAAAAAATGTTCCGTCAAATTTTGATAAACCCTAAGGATCTTGATTATCAGAGAATTTTGTGGCGAGATTCTAAAGGGGAATTACAGGCTTACCAATTGTTAACAGTCACGTATGGAACTGCTTGTGCTCCCTACCTAGCAAATCGCGTAATAAAACAGTTAGCTCAGGATGAAGGTGACCGTTTTCCACTTGCTAAACCTATTTTAAAAGAAAATATCTATGTAGATGCTGTGCCCTTTGGCGCTGATGATATTCCTACAGCTATTGAAACTAAAGTTCAATTATCACCATTAATGGAAAGTGGTGGCTTTCATTTGCGTAAGTGGGTTGTTAATGATGAAGAATTGTTAAAGGGTTGTGCCACTGGTAAACATGAATTAGCTTTGGAATTTCAATCTAATGAGGATAATTCGCTTAAAGTTTTCGGGTTAAGTTGGAATCCGAAAATTGATTCTTTTCAAATAGGAGTCAATTTAGAAACTATTGAATTTCCTACGAAGAGGACAGTTCTTTCTCTCATAGCGAAGTTATATGATCCTCTTGGTTGGATAACCCCAGTAATAGTCACGGCGAAGCTTTTTATGCAAGAGCTTTGGTTGCGGAAGATCGATTGGGATGAGACTTTGCCTTTAGATTTGAAAAAACAATGGTTTAATTTTTATCCTGATTTAATTAGTTTAAAGGATATTGTTATTCCGCGTTGGATAGGTTTATATAAGTCTAATACAACGTGTGAGTTTCATGGTTATGCCGACGCTTCCAATAGAGCTTACGCTGCTTGTATTTATATGCGTTTAATTAATCAATCAGGAATGATTCAGATTTCTTTGATTATTGCAAAGTCCAAGGTTGCTCCGGTTACCCCAGTGAGTATTCCCAGGTTGGAGTTGTGCGCTTGTGTGTTACTGGCCAAACTTTTTAAATTTGTTCTAGAGAATATGAGCAGTAGTAATGTGCCTTGCTTTTGTTATACCGATTCAAATGTTGCTCTAGCGTGGTTAGCAAAGCATCCATCCACTTGGAAGACCTTTGTCGCGAACCGAGTAGTTTTAATTAATGAACTAATTCCGAAAGCAAAATGGCTTCATGTTGCAACCAAGGACAATCCAGCTGATTGTGCCTCAAGAGGTTTATTACCAAATGAGATTGGCAACTTTTCTTTGTGGTGGAAGGGACCATCGTCGCTTTCTAGTCCATATATTGATGTTTTGAAAAGGGGTTCAAAGGAATTAGTAACTACTAATTTAGAATTAAAAACGGTTAAATCAACATGCCTTCAAAGTACTCACAAGAATGATCATTTTTTGTCCTTAATAAGTCAATTTCCGTCTTGGCCGAAATTGCTACGCGTGATTACTTATTGCTTTCGGTTTATAACAAATTGCAAAGGCTCTAAGATCACTAATAAATCGGATTCTCTTTGTTTAAGTAACGTAGAGATCGATCAAGTACGTTTACGTTTAGTAAGATTGTTACAGAGAGAATATTTTGAAAAGGAAATAAATTCTTTGAATAAAAATAAGACAATTTTTGATCGATCAAGTATTAAAAATTTGAATCCTTTTTTGGATAAAACGGAAGTTTTGCGAGTGGGTGGACGTTTGCGTCACGCTCCAATAGGATATGACGAAAGACATCCTATAATTTTACCCAAACATAAATTCAGTGAAATGATAATTTATCATGCTCATATACGATGTTTGCACGGAGGCACACAATTAACAATGCACACTTTGCGTCAGAGTTATTGGATTATTGGAGCAAGATCCTTGGTTAAAACAATTATTAAAAAATGTGTCATATGCGTACGCGAAAAAGCTGCGATAACTCAGCAACTTATGGGGGATTTACCTGAATTTCGAGTAACTCCAAGTCGTCCATTCGCTCATACCGTAGTGGATTATGCAGGCCCCTTTGATGTCAAAACGAGTTCAGGAAGGGGTTACAAAAGTCATAAAGCTTATATTGCGTTGTTTGTTTGTTGTTGTGTTCGCGCTGTTCATCTCGAATTAGTTTCCTATTTAACTTCTATCGCCTTTCTCGCTGCTTTTCAGCGTTTTGTATCGCGACGAGGTAAACCTTCGCACATGTATAGCGATAATGGTAAAAATTTCGTAGGAGCTGCGAAAGAATTAAAGAGGCATTTAAAGGAGTTGAGATGCGATAATGATTTGCGGAATCTGCTGGCAGTCGAAGGTACGTCATGGCATTTTGTCCCACCTAACGCTCCCCACTTTGGTGGACTATGGGAGGCGGGAGTTAAGAGTGTCAAAATCCATTTGCGTCGAATTGTCGGATTACATAAATTTACGTTCGAAGAATTCTCTACTTTGCTCACTCGCATAGAAGCGACTCTGAACTCGCGTCCAATAGCTCCACTTTCCGAAAGTGTAGACGATTTTTCTTATCTTACACCGGGTCATTTTTTAACTGGTACACCTATAACAAGTATACCTGAGCCGTCGCTAGAATTTACTCCGGAAAATAGATTAAATCGATGGGAAACAATTCAACGCATTGCAGAAATTTTTTGGAAAAAATGGGCAATTGATTATTTACATACCTTACAGAAAAGATATAAATGGTCTTCTCTTAAACCTAATGTTTCTATTGGAGATTTAGTTTTATTAAGACAAGATGATCTACCCCCTGCTCATTGGCTTTTGGGACGAATAATTGAATGTCATACGGGACCAGATAATTTAATTAGAGTTGTAAAAGTTAAAACTGCTCATTCTGAATTTGTACGTCCGATTAGTAAATTATGTTTACTTCCTGTTAAATCAGGCACAAATGATGAAATTGTTTAATTTAAGGTGTTATGGCGGGCGGCTAAAACCACAGTTTGTTTAAATATTAAAATTTTTTTTTTTTTTTTTTTTTTTTTTTTGATAATAAATTCCTTCTCTCTCTTTTTTTTGTTGTTGTTTATTTTCGTATAATTACGAGGCGAGCGGTATGTTCGAATGTGAGAGATATTTCTAAATTATAATTAAGCGCCTGTAAATAGGCTAACGTTGTAAGAAGTTTTTCTTCCGATCTGTATTCGGTAATTCTCGAAATTGGTATGCTAATTCGGGGAAATGTTCACCGTTAGTCTGCAAGAGTGCGAGGAAAGCGATAGTCGTTAATTCGACTCAATATATTTAATCTTAATTTATTTCACAAAGTCCCTTTGATGTTTTTTCTCTGAACAATTTTTAATTATTGACAAGTGTCTAATTTTATTAACTTTATTTGTGAGTGGTTTTAGCCGTGAAAACAATTTATTCTTTAATAAATATTAATGTGAGTTTTCTACTTAAATGAACTAGTGAGTGTTATTTAATGATCCAACTATTAATTTAAACGAAAATTAAACACACTTAAAACACTTATTATTGAGTAATTATATCTTAATTTATTGTTATTATTGTATAAATAAGACCTCTAAATGTCTATTTACCATTCCTAATAGTTATTTACAACATATTTCGTCGATTAACGACAATTTTTCACAAGTAACTGAAACGTAACCCAATTCGGTTACATCTCAGTTTACCCAATTTGCCAGGGTCTTCACGCATGACAGAGAAGGATTGTCGTGCGCCGGCTGTTCTATCCTTTTCTCCGCGAGAGAGAAACTTGCGATCTCGCATCTCATTATTGTGCGAGAGAGAACATTACAGGGATTACCTTTACCACGCTACGATCCCCACAGTACTCCACCCAAGTGTAACGATCAATGCAACTGTGCAACAGTGCAAGGAAGATACGGAATTAGTGACATAAAATGGTAAGTCTATATGAAGTTTAAATAATTATTTTAAATAATAAATAATCATTTAGCAAATATAATATAAATAATAATATAATATAATAAATAATGTATGTAATATAAGGACGATCGATCGTAAACATATATAAAAAAATGTGGTTATCACACATATTTAAATAATACTTCGCATTCATATAAAATAACTAAACAATGATATCGCTTAAATTAAATATCGTAGTCGTATCAGTCTTTAGTTACAATTTAAAATGAATTAGCAATTTTTCAACAACTTATTATTTTAAAGTAAAATTTCTATCGATGAGATGTTATTTTTTCCGGAAAGATCGAAAGAAACTTTTTTCTTATTCGTGTACGTTCGTAAAATTGTTGGTCTAGACCTAAATTTATTGTTAATTGGCGAAGTCAAATTTGAATTTAAATTCTTTTTAGCAATTAATGGAATGCTGGATTGATTAGGGACACTAGATGCACCTGGAACACTACTCGAAGTAGAAAGCAATTCTAAAGGCTCTTCACTTGAAAACTCAATAGGACTGTCGCTGTCACTGAGAGCAAAATACGCGGGCTTTAAATTCTCTACCGAAATTTGTTTATTGATACCATTAAGCTCTACCTCAAAAACTCTGTCCGATATACGTTTAATGACCTTATGCGGACCTGAGTATGGACATTCCAAAGCTTTTTAATTTGGACCAACTTTAACAAACACGTGGGAACAAGAGTACAAATCTTTGAAAAAGAAAATCTTTCTCTTGTGCCTGTGCTCGACCGGCACTGGCTTAACCAATTTCATATGTTCCCGAAATTCTTCTATGAAGATTTGACGATTCGCGGAAAAATCTTCCGGAATAACAAATTCGCCCAGTATTCTGAGGGTGGTACCGTAGAGGTACTCAACCGGCGATGTCCCCGAATCCAAAACATTATTTCTAAGTCCCAACATGACTGTGGAAAGCGAATGAATCCACTTAAGGTTATTGTGGCACATAATTGCAGCCTTAAGCGTGCGGTGCCAACGTTTAACCAATCCATTTGCTGCAGGGTGATAAGGTGTCGTTCGAATCCTATTGCAACCAGAAATTTTTAACAATACAGAAAACAATCTCGACTCAAATTGGCTACCCTGGTCTGTTGAGAGAGTCTCAGGCGAACCAAAACGAAAGATTCAACAGTTGAAGAATGCACGGCAAACAGTCATCGCCTCTATATTTTTTAGTGCAACGGCTTCAGGCCAACGAGAAAACCTATCTATCAATGTGAGACAATACCTGTAGCCTTCACATTCCGGTAATGGACCGATGATATCCATATGAACGTGTCGAAAACGACTATCCGGAGCAACAAATTGAGAAGGAAGCAGTATATTATGTCTCGAGACTTTTGATCGCTGGCAATAAAGACAAGATTGACACCACCCCTTTATGTCCCTGTTCATGCTATGCCAAACATATCTTTTTTGTATTAATCTAGTAGTGAGCTTTTCCCCAGAATGAGCAGTATTATGGAGAAGATTAAACATTCGCCTTCGCATGGAAGAAGGAATGTATGGACGAAGATTATCACCTGACACATCACAAATTAGTGAAGTGTTATTCCAGTCGAATCTTTTCAATTTTAAAGAAGTAGTATTGTTATTGGAAATTGCTTTTAACTCCTCATCGACGATTTGAGCTTGTGAAAGCTCCTTTAGATCAATTTCCGTGGGGAAGCTAATCACATCTGCGCGAGATAAGGAATCGGCCACTACATTAGTCTCACCTGGAAGATACTCATTCACGTTTGTGAACTCTGATAAAAAAGAAAGTTGTCTTTGTTGTCTAAGTGAAGCTTTTTCCGTGCTTTTCTGTAAAGCATAAACTAAAGGTTTATGGTCTGTGCAGATTGGCGGCTTCCATAAATGATGTCACAGGATTTTCGGACATTTTCGACCCCCCCTCCCCTATGTCACAATTTGTCACATTTTTCCAGACCCCCCCCCACCCCTATGTCGCGTCACAATATTCAAAACAGTTATTTTTCATGAAAAAAATCTTTTTTCAATAAATAGTAATTTAGTTATTTTAAATAATCCCTCAACTAATGAATTTGCTTATTTTTCAAGCATTTTTAATGCAAATATACTTGCAAAAGAAAATCAGGACAAAATTAATAATAATTGCGCACTAACTGTATTCTGAATTTTCACAATTGTATTCGAAAACAAATATTAATTTTTATAAGTTCTGATTACATTATTATTATTTTTAGAGCTATAAAAATAATTCCTATGAATTTTGTTTTAAACATAAAACTAACTATAACTATAAAGGTTAAGCCTTGAGCTTACTTTAGAATACACATAAATGCAAAGTGCGAGAACTGTGATCGCACATAATACACAATGGTAGAAGAATAATTTACGTAGGCAACGTACTGACTTACGTTCTCGGCAGGCAGCCGAGCTGGGAGCATACCTTAAGGTGACGCAAGATTCAGATGCGCCGAATCAAAAAACGGCGCGCTTTATGAAAGATATTTAAATTTCACGAAGTAAAAAAAATTGATTTCTTTAGTTAAATGAAAGTTACTTTTAAAGTAAATTCGTGATGTCACATTTTATGAAACACCCCCCCCATCCCTGTCACAAACTGTCACAATTTCGTACACCCCCCTCTCCCCTAAGCCTGTGACATCATTTATGGAAGCCGCCATTGTAAATTCGTGACCTTCTAGGAAGTAACGTAAGTATTTAACGGCTTCATAAATTGCAGTTAACTCTCGATCATACGCACTATACTTAGTTTGCGCTGTATTAAATTTTCGTGAGAAAAAAGCTAAAGCACGCCACGCACCATCCAAAAATTGCTCTAAGGCTGCTCCCATCCCTAAGTCTGAAGCGTCCGTTACCAAACGTGTGGGAGCTTCAGGAGAAGGAAAAGCCAGAAGTGTAGCTTGAGCAAGAGCTTCCTTTAATGCGACGAAGGCCTTTTCGGCTTCAGGTGTCCAATTAACTTCACGCTTGTCATTTTTGCGTGTGTCATGTAAAAAGGCGTTCAAAGGTCGCTGTTTTTGGGCGGCATGAGGAAGATTACGACGATAGAAATTAACTAAACCTAGAAAACGTCTAAGTTCATTTGTAGTGCGCGGTTTTTCAAAATCTTTTATCGCTTTGACCTTCTCTGCAGTAGGCCGAGAACCGTTTTGATCGATGTGATGGCCTAAAAATTCAAATTCCGTTTTACCAAAAATGCATTTGTCTAAGTTAAGACTTAAAGAGTATAATTTTAATCTACTAAACACAATGTTAAGATGATCCTCATGCTCCTTCATATCGCGGGGCGCTATGAGGATGTCATCTAAATAAACAAAAACAAAATCCAAATCTCCTAGGGCCTTAAACAGGTACCTTTGGAATGTTTGTCCTGCATTCCGCAAGCCAAATGACATGCACAGGAACTCAAATAGTCCAAAGAGGGTAGTTACCGCCGTTTTAGGTACATCGTCGGGGAATACAGGAATTTGATGATTCGCCGCGTGTAAGTCAATTTTCGAAAAGATTTTTTTATTACGAAGGTTCATAGTAAAATCAGAAATGGTAACACTATTCAACATTCTGTAATCCCCACATACTCTCCACTGACCATCTGATTTCTGGACCATGTGAATAGGGGATGCGTCAGTGCTACTAGAGGCTCGACATTTACCAGAATCAATCATGGATTTAAAGTGTGCTTTTGCTGCAACTAACTTGTCCGGAGAAAGTCTACGTGGACGCTGCGAGACAGGAGGACCATTTGTTACAACGTGGTGTAATATACCATGAGTAAAAGGTTGTTTGTCATTTCCCGGGTTCGTAATTTCAGGATAATTTAATAAAATTTGATAAAAACGACTTGATTTGTCAATTGAACTAATATCTGTTATAGAAGCGATTTTAACTTTACATTTAGTTTCACTGCCTGAATGTGCATCTGTGAGTTAGCGATTCTTGATATCAACCGATAATCCAAAGTGGTTCAGAAAATCGGCACCGATAATGGGATAAGGCACTGA